ATTGATTCCGTTGAATTGCGCTAGCAATGTCGTGGATTGTTAGGATTAATTGTGTTTCGGTTGATCGTTTAGCTCTACAGCCGTGTTGCGTGTCGTTTAATACGCCGTAACTTTCAAGATGTTTCATTATGTGGCTATGGATAATATGCTCAAGGATTTTGCTCGATATACATGTTAATGATATCGGTCGGTAGTTAGTCGGATCTGACTTTTTCCCCTTTTTCCAAATTGCACAGACATTTGCCTTCTTCCATTTGTTTGGTACAATACCCAACTCAATTGAGCTTTGAAATATATTCGTTAAGACCGGGGCAATTTCTGTGCAATATTCTTTCAGAAACCAAGCAGGTATTTCATCTGGGCCACCTGCCTTGTTTGGTTTAAGTGAGTCTAGTTGTTTCAGGACACCTTGGACAGTTATTATCAGCGGGTTTATTCCTGGGGTAGGGTTTTCTCCAACATCTGGGACTTAATTTAAATTTTCATCAGTATACACGCTGGAAAAAATAGTTATTCAGTACCTCAGATTTATTTTGAGCTTCATGAATAATTTCGTTGTTTACCTCAAGGTCTGCTACCCCTAGGTAATCTTGATTTAATTGTTTTATGAATGTCCAAAATCTGATTTCAGTTGATTGTGCATGGATTTCCTCATATTTCTAAACTTTGACCAGTCGGAGTCTTTACCAGATTTTTTTGCTTTGTTGCTCTTTGTTTTGCCCTGGACAATCGCCTAAGTGGGCGATTAAACCAGGGGAGATTATAACGTGAGCTAGTTGACTTATTTGGTATAAAAGTATTCATTGTGTGTTTTACTGTTGATTCAAATTTATCCCATTTAACGTCGATGGGCTCATCTATTAAAAATGTGCGTAATACTCTGAGAATTTATTCAATTCGTGTTTGATTTTATCATGATCAGCTTTCTTCCTGATGTAAATTTTTCTTTTAACTGGACGTTTCCTTTGGCATTGTACTTTCAAATTGAAAGAAACTATATCGTGATCACTTATACCGGGTACGACTTTCACCTTACATATAGAATTTGTCCCCGAGCGGGCGCGGAGCGCCTGCGAGGGTACTAATTCCGCTCGGAGATTAGGACTTACACCCGGAACCCGGTAGAACATAGCCGAATCCAAAGTTGTCCAAATTCTTTGTCATGGATGGTCGACGTTGGGTGGTTTTGTAAGTTATGCGCATGCGCGAGTAACGTCTGGTAATCAACGAACGTTCTGATTGGCTAAGACAGAAAGTTTGTATTTCAATGAGAACGTTAGCAATTTAAATTAACTGTCATTTCGTAAACATTTTTGTAATTTGTAAAAGCGTTTCATAAACTTTGTGCAAAGAAAGTAAAACGAGAAGAAACAAGATATATGAAGCATGACAGTTAGCAAAGATGAACGTGGATACGGTCAAGACAAAGCTGTTTAAGAGGAATAATTCATAATCTGCAAACTTATAAATGCTTTCAAAGACAAAGGGTACGTGTTTACTTTGTTTATTTCGGCATGTTGTAAAACATGGACTGGACTGGACTTGTAAACTATGGACTGGACTGGACTTGTAAAACATGGACTTGTAAAACATGGACTTGTAAAACATGGACTTGTAAAACATGGACTTGTAAAACATGGACTTGTAAAACATGGACTTGTAAAACATGGACTTGTAAAACATGGACTTGTAAAACATGGACTTGTAAAACATGGACTTGTAAAACATGGACTTGTAAAACATGCACTTGTAAAACATGCACTTGTAAAACATGCGTAAAACATGCACTTCGGTAAAACATGAACAACAATCTTCGAATTCGTTGGTTTCAGCTCATTAAACACACAAAAACACATTACAAAATATCTTGCCACTCTCTGCCCCAACCTTTATTTGTCGTCGAAATTGGACGGCGATAACGAAATAGAAAACGTCTACTATTTACAGGCATACATTTGTATCATATATAGTTAGATTGCGGTAATTAGCCTTTCTCACGCTGCTACGTTTGGGGTACTGTGATTTTTTGTAGACGATTATAATGTGAAAAGCAATATTTCAGAACAAACTATACCTATTCAAGAAGTAAATTAACCATCATACACCCATAAAATTATAAAATGTTGCCATGCCATTAAATGGTGTTACGACACTACAGTCGCAGGATTAGCCAAAAGGCACCCGTAATATAGCGGTGTGACAAAGGCTTTTTAATTAAGCCCAATTTGCAAAACATGAGCTGCAATGGGAACAGTTTACTAACAAAACGAAACTTCTAACAAAATATTTCACTGTCATGATAGTTCTGAACAAATATTACTGGTATCCATCATAAATATTCACTGAATTGTATCTGTAAAAGGAGATCTGCAACACTGTCAATCAAGATGTATGACAAGGCCTGTTAATGGTCTGAATACTGAATGACTTCTTACGATAAATATCTAAATGACCCCGTAACATCGACAACGTTCCTATACGCTTCTGTATCACTAATAAAGTCACTTATTTCTTAAGAATTTATGCTGTACCTTCAGTTAAGTTGTTGAAAATTAAGTCCCAATTGAACAATTATAAGATTATAATGTTCTTGATGAAGAAATGGGATCAGATCGTCAGGCAAGTGACAGGATGCAGGTGTAAATTCTGGTAGTGCATTTTTTGCACAATACTGGCTAACGTGAATATATACCGGTGAGATCGATGGGGACACTTGCGTTACCCCGTCCTTAATATATTTTCGGTGGGGTCTGGTAATAAGAACAAGATCGTGTGGTGGAGAAGGCATATAGGTTTTAGCGGATCCCCGCATCCATAGCAACGCGATACTCTGCTATCAAGAAATGGTAACCTTCCAAAAACGAATACACCAGGGTTAGGTTTTGGACGTACGGGATAACGAGGATGTGTTTCATTGGCTTGAGATTCAACAGCGTTTACGGGCGACGCCATTCCAGGTGGGAAGACAACGTTTGTCGATGGTACTGCAGGGTGGAAAGAGACATTTGCTGATGTCATTGCATGCCGTAAAGGAACACTTGTTGACGTTTCTCCAGGGCGAAAGGGGTCACTTAACGATGACGCAATTGTAGGCAGAAATGAGGCACTTGATAATGACGCCATTGTAGGTTGAAAGGAAATGTTTGACGGTAAATGCCGAAGGGGACCACATGCCGATGTTACTCCACGATGAAAGCCGCCCACGCTTGTTGATGTTACGCCAGTCTGAAAAAACGCAGTATTTGTGGCTCCAGGTTGTCAATGTGGCTGTGATTGAACTACGCGACTCGAAACAACGGGCATTCCTTCAGTTGGTGTTGTATTAGCGGCTCCTTTTCTCTTTCGCGTTCCAGATTTACGGCCTTTATTCTGCGGCATATTAATGTTGCTAATTAGTCAAGTTTGGAACGCGTTTCTGCTTCTTGAACCATGCTAGAAATTCTTTTAGGCGTTCTACATTTTCAGCTACGACCAATGTATGCGAGCACAAGCTATAAGTTGACCAATTTACACACGCTTTGTCACACATCACTTTGCCACTTTTTAAACATACCAATACTCTGTGCGGGTTCTCGGACGAGGTGCTGTGAACCATGAATCCAGGTTTATCTTGGGCGTCTGTCAGATATAAGAAGGGTTTTTTACCAAAGTGGAAGCTTTGTCAAACATTCCTTTGAGAATTGGGAATGGGACGTCGATGTTCCCCGAGTCTTCAGGAGTTATTGACATTGCTTTCGTCTCGTTTGGCCGTTTGGTATGGACATCTGGTGTTTCCGTAACATGGATGGAAAAAAATTTCTTCCGCAGGGAAGTCTTCTGGCCATCTGTCATTGAGTAGAAGTTACGTTCCTGAACTCCTAGAAATGAGAACTCTTCGGTTAGCCTGTACTGTCTTCTTCCAAGAACCGCGAGAAACTGTTCGTTCTGTTGCCGTTTGATTTCATTTCTAATTTTCTCGACATAAGGAAGCAGCGAAGCTTCTTTCTTGGAATAGCTGGAATTCTCTTCCGCTTTGATGAGCCTATTCACACGTTCATTGGCGTTCTGAGTGTAAACTTTGGGAGGGTAGCCAAGACCGCACACAGACCGAATATCAGCTCCAGCTGCTTCTCGAATGACGCCAGCTTTCTCCTTGAGAAAGTATTCCACGAACTTTGCACCATGATTATGTTGGGTATTCCACCTTTTTACGACTACCTCGAGAGCTGTATCAAATTCTTCAGACGATGTACAGTCTACCAAACCTCCCTGAATCCCACCGTGCACTTTCTTGCGAAAAATGTCGAACACTATCTCAGAAGCAGCTTCGCCTGTGATTCCAATCTCACGCAGCTTTCGTTTGACATTGTCCTTCATATGAATGTCGCATTGCAGATGCTTTGCAGTTGGATAAGCATCTGAGAAGGCTTTGGCCATGTTTTCCTCCCCGTCAGTTCCGTAAACTAAAATCCCACTTGTTCCAGCGCAGTATTTAGACATTAGAAGGGGAAGTGTCTTGTACGACGTGTAAAGCTTTTGCTTGTGGAGAATCCCCGGACCAATAAAAACAGGATGGTTTCCTCTTTTTGTTGTCAACATGAGATTCCTATATGTGGTGAAAGTAAAGTAGAAACCTGCAATTTGAAAAGTTGCGTCCACACCAACAATACAGAATTTTTCCGGGTTGGTACAAAAACGTTCGATGTCTCTCAGTTGTTGTTCAGACGCAAGAAAGACTATCGGCTCTGGAAACAGTGGAATCTCTCTAATGAAAGCATTTTCTACCCTTCCTTTCTGGTCCTCTTTCGCTTGTGTGATGACCTGTAGCAATGGATCGTTACTTTGTGTCATTGTCTTTTCTCTATTTAGTTTTCTATTGATGTTATACACTTGGGTGCGATTGCGAGGAAATTCACCAGACTGGCCAATACTCATTATACCTTCGTGGGACGCCTCTCGTGGTGGATATACTGTAAGCTTTTCCGCAATCATATCCTTTGTGCTTTTCATTGTTCGTTTGAAGCCAGTTTTTCCAAAATTGTTATTTTTGCAATTCCCATGAGCTTTGACGTCCACTTCTTGTTCTCCATCTTCAAAAATATATTGAATAAAGCATAAGTCTTTAGGGAGACTGGAAACCATATTACGGGCCATGACAACGATTTTGCGAAGTGATGGCAGACTTTTGTTTTTGAAGAATTGACGACTTAGTTGATATTGTGGCTTGTTTGCCAAGTCATCTTCCCTGTGGATCACTCCTGCGTTGTCCAATGAGTAGCCAAACCTTTTGGTTCCAGTATAATTCCACGCACCAAGATCGTCACACTTCACATCTTGATCACTCCGAAGCTTCGTGGTATCAACAATAAACGAAGTGTTTTTACTCACGTTTGTTGGAACCTTTGTGGCTATCTTTGCTTGATCAACATTCTCTCTCAGAAGTATCGCCGCTACCTCATCTGTTGATACACCTTTGGTCAACCCACCCCGAAATACAGGAAGGGCTGGGTCATTGTCATACAGCTGTGTTTCTTCAATACCCCCCTCTGTTGAATCGTTGTCGTCTTCCACTCCAGTGGATAAGAGAAAATTTTCGTATGGTGCACCCAACAGCTCGTTGGTATGTCCTTAAATGTTGAATTATAGTCGTGCAGTTAGAACTGATTTCACTTATACTCACTGAATGAACTAATCAACATAACTCGACTGATTTCTGTTGTTAGCTACTGTTTTTACTGCTATATGAGCATGAATATATGAATATACACTCCCAATTAAGCTTCTAGCGATGGCCCGGATCATTTTATTTCGGGAGTGAAATTGCAAAATATAAAAAAATTGTATAAGGCAACATTTCCATGCAATACCATATATTATGCATACCCATCATATGTTAGGGTATTTACTCCGATAAATTTCCGACACAGTGATTTCTATTTGGTTTAGCTAAAACTACATACCTTCCAAACTACTTTCATGAAGTAGATCTGTTGGGGAAATTTAGATATGAAATTGCTCTGTTCTTCCTTTACAAATATCACATTATCCTCCTCATCGGTGTTCATGGCTTGCGTACAAGGCACAACACATAAAATCTCAAGGCCATCAGCTTCAAGTGTTCTTTTTCGCCTTTTCCTTAATCCATCATGTTCTTCAATATTTTCTAAAAGTTTATTGTAAAATTATTGTAAAATGAATTACATGGTGTATACCACAAGACTTTAACTTTAATACAAATAGATGCGAGTCAAAAAGACCAAGGTCCAAGCTGACTGTACATAAAAAGTGGAATTGCTACATTACATTTTTATACCCCTTGAGTCTCGTTCTTGGTCTGGAAAATGGTCGAATGTTTCTTTATCAACAAAAGCAGCCTCGTAAACGTGCGCTTAAAGCCGCGGCTACACGGGTGATTTTCATCGGCGATTTTGTCTTTCCAGACTATGTTAATGTGTGAATTACGTATGTACGCAGTTGTATTAGCAAGGCGATGTAAAGTGACCAATAACTCTGTATTTTAACTCTGTTAAAATTACTTAATAGCATACACCAGGAGAAGACGTCAAAATCACCCGTTTAGCAGGGGCTTTAAAAGACTATAGATATAAGCACACTACAGGGTTTTACTATAGAGATTATAAATAACACTAGATGGGGCATCGACACAGAATACCCTATCAGAAGGAGAACTCTATACTATTTTTTCGTAAGTGTGATTCGTCACTTGGCAAGTGCATTAATTTGAGGCAGTCACCCCCCTGCCAATGTCTGAAATGACGCCATTTTTGTGACGAATTACACTTATTTATAATCTTTATGGGTTTTACATACAGCCTCTGCTCACCTTAGCTACTTATCTATGTAGAAGCCTGTAGTGTGCCTATATTTACAGTTTTAAGCACTAGTGTATACTAAGCTGCGACATAGGTGTGTGTATTATTTTACCAACCTTGATACGGATTCAGCCATGTCATGCTTTGTCTCATGGTTGTTTCTATTCCGGCCATCTTCAATCGCTTAATAACCCACTGAACAACCATTTTACACGATCGAGGACTTGAATCAGGAGGTGATCAGAAGAAGTCCATTGCCATTTCCTCCAAGCTCGTGGCTTACCGGGTGAGTGTCGACGACAAAAAGAGCATCAAGACAAACTCCAATTCTGAAGATGAATGGACTACAGGTATAAATTGCGACAGACGTTTTCCTATGGGCAATCTTTGAGGTTAAGGTAGTTATTAATTCTTCTCTTCCGTCCGACGAAAATACGGTATTGGCTGAGACGCATGACTCGAAGATTTCGTATTTTTTGAAAGTATGCCGTTGTCTGACATGATGGAATAGGCTTCCGCGACGTCATAAAATTGGCCAATATCTCGATGCTTATTTACTTTCGAAGGAAGACCACATTTTACATCTTCAGCTATTTCGCGAATATTTTCCAAAGCATTCAGTTGCAAAGTTTCTATATCGTGTAAAACTCGATCGGAAATCCCAAGAGAAAGAAACGCACAACTGTTGGTTCCGTCATTTTCAGGAGCTGTGATGTGTTTCGGTGTAGATTGGGAAAAACTTGCAGCGATATGTGTATCGAATTGTTCCAAGACAGTACTTTGGCTAACTGACAAAGGAATACAGTTGAAATATTCTTCAAAATTCTCACGAATACTGCAAAGCAACTGTGCGGTGGATGGCCTTGACAAGGGATTAAAATCGGCACAGGAAAGAAAAATATCCTCTAATTGCCACCATGTTGAAACTCGCAACTGTTCATTTTTAAAGAATGTTGCGGCAGTTGTTGTTTCGCCATAATATTTCTAAGCGCCTCTTGGGGGTTTACAGCAACAGTCTGCGTCAACTCATTCCGATACGGGCTACCGAGATCTGGATTAAGCATGGAATGCATTACAAGACCGAGAGACCACATATCCGCCCGTCTGAGATCCTCTTGTTCAGCCATAGCAAGTTGATTCAAATGAATCTCTGGAGCCATGTACACCGGCGTGCCACAACTAATCGACGCTGTCTTCGATGTTAGAACTGACTTGGTTTGTACGTCGACACTCCGACTAAGACCAAAGTCACTCAAACGGCAGACAATTGGACAAGCGTGATAAGCTCTACCAAGAGAAGTATCATCACTGCTATTGCACATATGTTGATTACATACCAAGATGTTCCCAGGTTTTAAATCACGATGCGCTATATTATGGCTGTGAAGATAGTCCAGGCCAGTAATGACATCTTTCATGCATACAGGAAAAACCTCCGAAAATGATGAAAAATTATACTCCGCGTCTACAAACTGGAGAAAATCGGCTAGAGAACTGACGCTGTTATCAACTCCAAATATGCCAAAGTTGAAACAGGAATACTGCATCATGATTGCATATAGTTTGGTACACAGCCCCAAAAATTCTGTGATGTTTCTGTGCCCTTTAATACTATTCAAAATAGTCGCTTCTTTAACAAATCGAGCTGCAGAATCCAGAGAAACATTCTTTAGTTTTTTACTACGACATCCTGTTGGCTGGTAGCGTCGTGAACGTATTTTGCCAGGTGTACGGAACCAAAACTACCAGAACCGAGCTTTTTCTGCTTTATTATATTAGCCCATTCAAATTTTGGTAAAACAGGCTTATCGTTTGGCTTTTGCATCAGTTTGGGAAGCTTGAAACTACTGAACATTTTGGTTTACAGACCTTTACATTGTTGGAGACTGACAGAGATTAAAGGACAGGTTACAGTCGCTTCTGCGCATGTGCGAAGTGTGCTCACACTTTGTTTTGCTTTGTTTTGACTCTTGCAATTTGAAAACATTGCGCAATATATAGTGTTCACAATTCAGGCAAGATGGCCGACGCACGGGAGTGAAAAATGTTAATAATATAAATTCTTCGCAGGCTAGTCTGAATGTACGGAACAGTTCCAATAAGTCATGAAAAGTAAAAAAGTATGTATCTTCCTTGATGGAACTAAACGTGAAGGTACAGTACTTGTGGATTGATGGTTTTTAACTACATATTAACTTTTATCTAATACATCTGCAAGAAATCAGCTTATATAACAACCATATATGAGTCATATGGGATCACCACTCACCATAAACTAATGTAAAAAAATCTCTTGGTAAATAAATGATATTCACTGCTTGTATTAAGCTGCATTGTTATCTTCCATATTTTTATAATAAAGGTAACATGCATTGTAAAATTTCAAATTTATATAGTGGAAAATAAATCAAAGTGACTATATGTGAAATTATTATTTTTCAACAATATACTATATGTTTATTATATTTTTAATTATATATTGGAATGAGACTAATAATTATAATTCTTCTTTAGTTCCAGTTTTTAAGGGCTATAGTTGGGAACAATTTTAATAGAAAGATTGGTTTTACAAGTTACAACAGAAGCAAAATTCACAGCAAACATATCCTGAAGTCCTTCCACCTTTAATTAGAACTGAGTCAAGTAGACTACAGACATGCAAGTGTGCATCATTTAGAAACTATGACTCTGAGTAGGCGGAACTTATAAGCTCTGAAAGGTACTCCACTTAAAAGAGAAAGTAAATTTTACAATCCTAAACTGAACTATCCAAATTGTATTAGTAGATAAATGTTGCTTCAGAGTTACCCAGACATATAGTACCCTCAAGCTTTAATTTTTAGTGTATCAAAAATAAACAAGTAATTTAAGACAATAAAAAAATCAATGCACTAATTGTTGTGTTTGAATACATCTATATTTGAATATCTGATATATGAATTTAATGGCTTGCTCCTTATGAAGTAAAATACTACCATAAGACTTTAGACTTAATCCCATTAACATGCTGAGGTAGCAAGCAAGGGAGGGTGTAATATAATGTTTTAAGCATTGCACATTGAAATATATATAAGTAACAGAATTACCCAAGTTTCTTCTTTGTCTTACAAGTTCAAGTCCATGTTTTACAAGTCCATGTTTTACAAGTCCATGCTTTACAAGTACATGCTTTACAAGTCCATGTTTTACAAGTGCATGTTTTACAAGTGCATGTTTTACAAGTGCATGTTTTACAAGTCCATGTTTTACAAGTCCATGTTTTACAAGTCCATGTTTTACAAGTCCATGTTTTACAAGTCCATGTTTTACAAGTCCATGTTTTACAAGTCCATGCTTTACAAGTCCATTTACAAGTCCATGTTTTACAAGTCCATGTTTTACAAGTCCATGTTTTACAAGTCCATGTTTTACAAGTCCATGTTTTACAAGTCCATGTTTTACAAGTCCATGTTTTACAAGTCCATGTTTTACAAGTCCATGTTTTACAAGTCCATGTTTTACAAGTCCATGTTTTACAAGTCCATGTTTTACAAGTCCATGTTTTACAAGTCCATGTTTTACAAGTCCATGTTTTACAAGTCCATGTTTTACAAGTCCATGTTTTACAAGTCCATGTTTTACAAGTCCATGTTTTACAAGTCCATGTTTTACAAGTCCATGTTTTAAGTCCAGTCCAGTCCAGTCCATTGTTTACAAGTCCAGTCCAGTCCATGTTTTACAACATGCCGTTTATTTCGTATTTGTTACGCGATAAGAATGAGCCGTATTTGTATACTTTTCAGCTTTGTATGCCGTTTATTTGTTAAATTTTCAGCTTTTATGCAAACGCATAAACCTGTGAAAGGCTATTACACCTTTGCTTTAACTTCAAAAAGTGTTTTTGAAAGTGTAATTTGAATTTGAGATTAATGTTGAAATGAGTCTAACGAGTCAATGAGTTATGAGTCAATGAGTTATGAGTCAAAAAATTTTGCTGCATTTTCCTAACCACAGTTTTGTAACTGCGGATAAAGATTTTGCCTGATTTGCATAAAATTTACCTTCGAATTTCTCGGCTACATTTTACATTATGGCCAACATAACTCTTAAAGAAGGTTAGATACATCTATTCGTTTGATAAGTACTATACAACATTCGCGTCGATGTTGTATCAGAGATAAAAACACTCGCCTTCGGCTCGGGTTTGTATCTACTGATAAAAAAAAATGGGATGCATGGGATAAGCAGGTCTTCACTAACGTTCAATTTATTAACTGATATACAAGTTCGGACGGGTTTTAAACACAGCTATCACGTCAGGATTCAAGATCAAAGTTGTAAATATTCATATAAACCAATTTCAAATGTTCACAAAAAGTTCATGTAAGCTGTCAAAAAATATCGGAATCAGTCGCAAATGTTCAAAAGCGACTTACTGCGGTGACTGCAATGTCCTACCTTGCATGTACATATGAACCCTTGAAGTACTATTGTATATTAATACTGGATAGTTATTGAAGAATACTTCTAACCAGACAAATGCAAATGAAAGTTCATACAGACAATGAAAAGTTCACAAATCTGTAATATAAATCTTAAGGGTGGTTTGAAACACCGCGTACCAGTAACGTACTAACCAACTGAAAGTATGAAAATAACAACGTAAATTCGTAAACCATAAGTTCGAAAAATCCAAAAACCACTTCCGTTGTCTTTTGTTCAATATTTTATTCCATTTAACGAAAAAAAAAGTTTCAGCTGACTCATAACTCATTGACTCACAACTCATAGACTCATTTGACTCACAAAACAGGCGCCGGTTCTCTTTGAATTTTGGTATCAAAAATACACACTATATTTATAAAGTATAAAACTTTTAGCCGCTGGCGTCGACTGCAATTACAGAATAAATAACATTTGATGTTTTTTCTTTGTCTGTGAAGATTTTGTACTGTTTTAATCTTTTGAAACTTCGATTTTAAACCGTTACTTAATTGCTGGCATGGTATAATGCAGCAAAATTGAACGGGCAATGTTTACACTAGCTTTATGATTATTTTTGTATTGAATGATGGAAACATTAGCTATAATATACTCGGTAAAATATAAAGGACTGATTTGAGTTTTGTGTCATTTCATAATATAAGTTTAGGTCAGGTTAACTCAGGAAATTGTGTACTTGGTTTGAAATAGCGAGGGGTTGCTGCATGCATGTATTTCTAGTATTG